TCATTAGCACCTCTAGTAATATATTTACTGAGAAAAATGGTGACGTGTTCAATACTTATTTTACCCGTTGTATAATCCCACATGTTTACCATGTACACCCACTTGTTTCACACAGACAATAAGCTCTCAAATTCCACATGTAATCCCAGTGTTCCGATGTAATCCTATGTTTCACTTTTAACAGCCATGGTTTTACTTACTCCATCAGGTTTTGTGGTATCTGTCGTCTGGACACCTGCAACACCCTGATTGGTTGGTAACAGACTGGTCTCAGCTGCTCCTCATTCCACATGATGACTCCTGAGACTTTAAGTCTCCTCTGATGTTCAGATCTTTACTGGAACAATGTATCCCTTGTGTAGTTCAAAGTGTTTTCTAAACAAGTAATACTGTACTTTTTCATATTCTTTTGTGTTTTTTATCTCAGAGGTTCTCAAACTCTGCGAGGCATATCTTGGGGGTCCTCAAAAATTTTCACAAAATTGTTCATTTGTTATTTTAAGAAAATTCATACGGAGAACAATTTACTAGTAGAGCAAACATACTAAACCAAACGAAAGATAATATTCCCATAGCATTTAGGAGGTAAAATGACAATAAACTATTTTTAAAACAGCATGGGGTTTATAAGGGGGTCCCTGGAATTTTTTTTACCTTTGTAAGGAGTCCCCAGCCCCAAAACGTTTGAGAACCCCTGACGTCTCCTCAAGTCACCTCCCCTCCCTCGAGTCTTACTTATCAAGCTGACCGATTACCTGTTGCCTCGCCCATCACCTGGTCCGTCCACTCCCGCTGGAAACCCGTAAACTGAAAGACTGACTCAAAACTCAGAGGAATTTTCATCAGCACATTCTGATCATCTTCCTCTTCATCTCTACTGATACAGAGCACCCCAGTGTAGATGGTGTAAATAAACAGTCTCTCTGTTCCACACGGCTGCCTGATCCTTTCACATTCCCCTGAATCTTGGTAGCTTTCACACCCGTTTTTAAATGTAGGCTAACTCATAATTTACAAGTGTAATTTCCTCATTTTCACATTAACCATTTCAAATATATTATCCTAGGTTTCACATGTAATTCCACATAACTCATAAGTAATCCCATAGTTTTCAGGTGAAATACTATAATGTGGGTGCATTGCTCATGTACTTTATACACTCACCGGCCACTTTATTAGGTACACCTGTCCAACTGCTCGTTAACACTTAATTTCTAATCAGCCAATCACATGGSGGCAACTCAGTGCATTTAGACATGTAGACATGGTCAAGACAATCTCCTGCAGTTCAAACCGAGCATCAGTATGGGGAAGAAAGGTGATTTGAGTGCCTTTGAACGTGGCATGGTTGTTGGTGCCAGAAGGGCTGGTCTGAGTATTTCAGAAACTGCTGATCTACTGGGATTTTCACGCACAACCATCTCTAGGGTTTACAGAGAATGGTCCGAAAAAAAAAAAACATCCAGTGAGCGGCAGTCCTGTGGGCGGAAATGCCTTGTTGATGCCAGAGGTCAGAGGAGAATGGGCAGACTGGTTCGAGCTGATAGAAAGGCAACAGTGACTCAAATAACCACCCGTTACAACCAAGGTAGGCAGAAGAGCATCTCTGAACRCACAGYACGTCGAACTTTGAGGCAGATGGGCTTCAGCAGCAGAAGACCACACCGGGTGCCACTCCTTTCAGCTAAGAACAGGAAACTGAGGCTACAATTTGCACAAGCTCATCGAAATTGGACAAGAGAAGATTGGAAAAACGTTGCCTGGTCTGATGAGTCTCGATTTCTGCTGCGACATTCGGATGGTAGGGTCAGAATTTGGCGTCAACAACATGAAAGCATGGATCCATCCTGCCTTGTATCAACGGTTCAGGCTGGTGGTGGTGGTGTCATGGTGTGGGGAATCTTTTCTTGGCACTCTTTGGGCCCCTTGGTACCAATCATCCCTTAATTTACACATTTAATATCTCTAGTTTCACATTTTTTTTATTCATCATTAAACTTGGCAAATCCTATTTTTGCAAGGGCAGCCTGGGCCTGAAGGCAACCTATTGTACATGTTTTTGGTCTGTGGGGGAAATCGGAGTGCCCGGAGAAGATCCACGCAAGCACGGGACCWTTCAAACTCCAAACAGAAAGACCCCAGTTCTGAACCTGGGATCAAACCCAGGACCTTCTTGCTGCGAGGCATCAGTGCCAACCACTGAGCAATATGTTTCAAATATATTATCCCAGGTTTTACATGTGATTCTACATAACTCACATGCAATATAATTTTCAGATAATCTATGTCTTTCTGCAAGATTCCAACCTGGGCTTTTCTGATTCAATCACTGAAGAACATCCCTTAGAGTCAGAAACGGTCACACAGTAACAAATTGAAATCATTCAAACTTTATTCGTCACATCCATAGTTACAAAGCTCATAACTCTGATTGTCTTCTTTTGTTCAGAGCCCCATCATTCATCCCAAATGTTTTCAATCGATCACAAAATAAAAGGATTCTACAGGAACAAAAAATATTAAATTAAATCCAAACTCTTATTTCCCGATCAGTTTACAGATTAATCCTGAAGATATATAAATATAAAATGAAGGATGATGAGGGAAAAGACGATGGAAGACGTCACAGAAAATGAGCTTTTGTCTACAGTTTTTTTAACTTCATTTTTCATCTTCAGTTTACATTTTAACACAAAAATGTCCAGATGTTACTGGAGAATACCTTTTAAAACAAAGTCATAAAAACAAAAAACATTATAGGATATTATAGCATTTTTCAAAGGCCCTCTGTCATTTTAAAATAATAGTTCCTTTTAAATATTACATGACAATCACTAAAACACTCACACAAAGAAGCAGAGCATCAAATGCTTTGTTTACAGTCAGAAGAGCACTTACAGCCTCTCACAGCCTGTGAGAAATGGATTATAAATTAACACACATTCTTTCAAATGGATCCCAGTCAGTCACCTGCTTAAATTGTGTTTTCTTCATTTACCTTGATTTAAATGACAGCCAAAAGATGAACCAAAACACCATTTTGCCAGCATCCAAAAGCAGATTTCTCGGCAGAAAATCAAATCACACATTCTGGCAGTACCTGATCTTCAACTTTTTGTGAAAAAAAAAAAAGCCCAAAATGTTCAAAATTACATTTATGACACATTATGAACTCAAATCTGTAAAACTGACAAAAATTTTTAAACTCATTTCCAACGTTTCTTTTATTTTATTGCAAAATGTATATTGTTCCAAAGTCAGTAAGTTACATACCTGACGTCACAATTTTCATAGTTTTCTTTAACAAATAAAGAATGTTTGACTAAAAAGACTTACATTAAAGTTTAATAGTTTTGTGCAAATATGCCATGCCAGGAATAAAATAACTAAAAACAATATTCACTCATTTCATAATGACTCATTAGTGTCCTATTGAAATATTTGGATCTTTAAAAACAATGCTTATATAGTGTTACACACATACATACCATAAATTCAGTGTTGCAGTTTCACAGCATTTTGTTTTAGTGTTCATTTACAAGAGATTTACAGGTGGTTGAGGAAAAAAATTCAAGAGTTTCACATGAATGCAAAACATGTTTTTACACAGCAGCTGATTTTTAAATGATTTAAAATACAGCAGAGATAATTATAATTTAGAAGGAAAAAAATGGCTGGTAATGACTGCGTTTTTCTTATTAACAAATCCCACAAATGCTAATAAAATGATGAATTCACCTTTTTATGCATCATCTGTGCACAAAGAGCCACTGACTATATCAAAACGTACCAGATGTGTAGTATTCCACAGCTGTAAGTAGTCCCCCCCCCCGCCCCCACAAAATGCAGTATTTACCAATAAGTTCCTGAGTGTCACAGAATTAGAAACTGAATAGAGAATTTAGTGGCTTTTGATCTTTTCCTGACATTAATTTAAAGTAAAAAAAAAAAAAAAACCAAGCCTCAACCTGGTTTAACAGTGTAATGTACCTCAGAGAAATAAAACACAATGTATTCAAATAAATAAAATAAATCGCTGTCGTGCTTTCAAAGCTGAGGTTTCCTTGTATTTTCACAAAAGTTTAGTCTGAGTTCACAATCTTTGTCTTTCATGTGAGTTTTCTTTGCATCAGTCACAACACCTCGGTGGTGGGCACAGTTTGACTAAGACGCTAACAGCGGAGCTAAATTTTAATTTCGCGATTTAGTGTTTTTGCTAACTTAGAAAACATTTAGCACACTTAGCTTCTGCTAACTAATTTTTCCCGCTAAATTATAACTATGATAGATTACCTGACTGTTTTGGTAAACGTTCAGTTCAATGCAGCTTACCAAATAGAAAAGAATAAATAAATTGCGCCAGATTTTGTGATAAGCTGTGACTGGTCAACACAGAGGAAGCTGAAGGACGCTATTGCTGACTACGTCACCTTACAAGACATGATTGGTTAACTCGACACAAGGGCGGGAAGTTAAAAATATGTTTTTTTTTTCACTTATGGCGTGCTCATGTTACTGTTGCTAGAAGAACCTATGGATGAACTGCATGCAGACCAGTCTACAACAATGGCTGTAAGGGATGAGGCCAAATTGCCACAAATGATCCTGCCTTCCTCAAAAAAATCAAACCAACAGAATCAAACTAACAGCAGGTTTGTGTCAGTCCCATCAGTCTTCAACAGGAAGGAGATGAAAGTGTTTGACAGACTGAGTGGCAGTCATCTTAGCAGTTATCTTTAGCTTCTGTTAATTACTTCTCTGTTTAGCGATTTAGAGCTAGCAGAGCTAAGGTTCTTGTTTAGCAGATTAGTGGTTAGTGAAGCTAACTTTTTGGTTAGCTGTGCCCATCACTTCTTCATCTAATCCTTTGATAAATATACTGATATTCTGCAGTATAATACACTGTAACCACAAAATGGTTGTGTGGTTAAGCTCAGGAGACCTGCAGTTGTCAGAAGTGGTCTCTGTGCATTATGTGAAACATAAATATTTGATACAGTTGTATGTTTAATTCAGTCTGCACTGCCTGAAATGGTTTGTAGAGCATGTATAAGATCATTACGAAATTTTAAATAATGTTTCAAACACAAATAAAACAAATAACAAATAATACCTACTGTGGCTTTGAAAAATTTCCACACTTTTTTTGGTATCACACTAAAATGGAAATGGAAACTAGGCTTGGGCCAGATAGAAGTACACTTGTTTTACAATGTTACATGGTCAAAATTTGGAGATCACCTAAGGGTATTTAATTATTCCTGTTTTTAAAACACATTTTTCTTCCAGTTGTAGACCTATGCACTGTAGAGGAGAACCCCCTTACTCCACCTACTGCTGCTGGCTGACAGTCTAAAGGAGGGAAAACCCCGTCCAACTTTTCTCCCGCTTAAAAAAGACAAAATTATAACCTTTGTGATATTTCTTCCATGGCTTAGCTAGGAGAAATGCAACGCTCTTTCATTTTATTATTTTTTAATGTATTATTTTGAAATAACCAGGAAACAAGCTACAAAAATTACCATGTCTAGAAGTAAAGCAAGAGCAGGCTGCAGGTTGCTACCATGCCTAATAATCCAGCTAATTCATTAGCTAAGATCAGTTTATCAGGCAGGCACACAATGAGGAGAAGGATAGACAAGTCATATTCTATATTGAGGTGACCAGATTTTCTATATTTATTTTGAGGACATTTCCAACTCAAATATAAGAAAGAATTTCTTGTTATATTAATGAACTTAGGAAACTGGGAGTTATAGTTTCATTAATTTTTACATATTGTAGAGACTTTGCTAGTAGGCAGTAATCAAGCTCGATGGAATTGAGTTTTGATGACAACACACTATCTCCACACGCCCTATCAACAGAAAAGTTGTCCCCCTTACACACCCAGGAAGTACGTCTTATGATGTCAACTTACAGTGAATAACATTAACCTGAACGACTAACCAACCCGAACATGACAACTAACCAGAACAGCTCATTTTAACACTCATAACATCTTAAAAGCCGTCACTATGCTCTGACAGATAGATATGAGACAGATAATCTGTGGGAAAAAATAAAGCTCCTTTGGCTCCTCCCAGATTATTTGTACATATAATACATTTGTTTGGTTGTTTTTTGCATGTGCAAAACAATCGTATTTTTGCTTTTAGTGATTTTACTTTCAGGACTTCATACTGGCCCATGCCTATAGGTGTGGGGGGTTATACTGTCAGAGTTCCTTTTAAAACCAATCACATTTTGGAGCATGATTCCAACCTGCATTTGGAGGATCAAACTTGGCCCTTAACTTAAACATTCCTTGACAGTTTTTAGAAAACATAACGTGTGACAAGGCACTGTTTTTCCCCAGGTACCTAATTGTTTAAGCTCATTTTTTTATCCTATATATTTTGTTCTCAACATTAGTGTGTTTTCACTTGGTCATTGTTTTTATAAAAAACATTGCATCATAAAATCCTTCAACAGACTGTAAACATCTCTCAAAGTAATCTAAGCCTGCTCTGTAGTTGTACTGGCTACAGTATAGTCCTCAGTCATGTTTGCCATTATGACACATATATACATACATAAAACACACAATCGGAATCACAATCCTAAAGACAACAATAATATAACTGGTTAAAAAAATATTAAAAACATGAAATACAGAAAACTATCCAATGGCTCACAGATGCACTTTCACATTTTCCTAAATACTCCAAACTTATACCTTAAAGTTATATAATACTAATCCTTCTTACAATAAATATAAAGATGAAAGCACCAAGCCAAGATTAGTTTGGGCATATTAAGATCTCAGCAGGTCCACAGGACTACCAGCCTTAAAGGTTATTACTTCCTGTTTTATCCTTCAATGCCTTGTGTTTTAGATTGAGCAGATTTTAATTTGTCAAATGTGTCCTTAATGCAATTTTACAGCAAATGTAAGGGCCACGATCTAAAAACATAAATATTGAAACAAAACAACCAACAGGCTTTAAGTGTTTCTCCTGTGTAGTTCAATGTTTTGTTTGAACTGCATGTGCTGAAGGATTGCTGGTTCTTTAATCAATCCATGATTTTCTTATAACATGAATTAAAATCTTATTGCAATAATACCCTTTCTAAAAAAGAACATCAAGTGCATGATGTGATCCAAGCTAATTGACTGAGGCAAACAGGGAGCACTAATAACAGATTGTGGTGTTTCTGTGCAGATAAAGATGTCTCAGTAGAAAGTAACAAAAAGGATTAGACTGTGAAACAGTGAAAAGGATGCTCAGAGAACCAAGGGAGGTCAAAGACTAAGGAAGTACTGTCTTTTAGACTGAATGTGGGCTCAGTCTCTTTGTGAGTCACGACCACAAAAGGTGGCCAAACTGAGCATCCAGCAGTATTTTTAGAGATAAGGTCTTTTTTCCCTGCCTTTTTGTCTACTCTTGCTCTCTGTTGCTTTAGGTTTTAGACTTTGTAAAGGAAGAAGAGTTGTTTTTGTACTGTTGGGTTTAATGGTTGGAGTAGAATTCAGTTCTGAAGGCCTGAAAGCCGATCCCCTTGTGCCATTACGTCTATCAAGGACTTTAAGTGGCATACGTTACCAAGACTGTTAAGGGGAGGTTAAAAAACAGTAAATAATAGTAAGTAATATTATACAATACCCCTCTGATGCACACAAAGATCACATTGTGCATTACTGTAGACCCAATGTCACTGGTTCCAAAATGCACAACAGATTTCCTTCAAGAAACCACTCTCACTTAAAACCCACTCTCTTACACTGCTGTCAAAAGACAGAAAAAGACCTAGTTCCAGTTCAGTCCCAGTGTTTTTTTCTTTTCTTTTCTTTTTGTATATTTGAAGTTTTACAGACCATAGAGGGAGGAGATTATAGCACAAGTTAAGATGTGGTTCCTTTTCTTCATTCTTTTGTTGTAACAAAGTTAATCTGAAGGATACAAAAAACAAACAAAAAAATTTTCTCACACATGATCTCCACAGGTACCATCACTGTYTTATGGTCAGGATAAGTGGAGCCATGCAGTCTTTTTGGGCACTCCTTTTATATTAAAATCTACAAGGCATTGGTGTTTGACTGTTTAGGCCCTGACTTTGATATTCCTTCACCTTGATTTGGGGTAAATTTAGACTTTGTTGTTGAACCAGGACTTTGAGCATTAGAGGGTGGTGGTTGGCTGCGATGAACCTGAGAATGACGAGACAGGGTTGTGCGCATAGGTTGTTGGGGTATATTTGACTTCTGTGAAGTCCGACTCAGTAAAATCTGATGGTGTCGCAGTAACTGGGAATGAAGAAGCTTTTGTGTGTAGGTGATTTCTGGCATGATAGACTTGAGGCAGAGCTCCTTAGCCTCATGGCTGATATTTACTGGCAGATCGTAACCAATTATGCCAACTTTCTCACTAGGCTGCCAAGGTCGAAGATCCTTGTTCCTTATCTCAGAAGCTGAGCGTGGAACTGGCATCTGCCCACCAAAACAGCTTTTAGTTAGCCTCTCTTGGGCCTGTCTAATAAGATCCACCTCCTTCGCCACACAGTCTAGACCCAGAGCTGACAGTTTGACCCATAATGATGCATTAAAGTAGTCGTAAAGGTATGCGTCTAATGAATTCCAGGAACGAATCTTTGCAGGGAGACTTGGTGACAGACTCTTTTTGGAACTTTCAACTCGCATGTTGAGCTTGACATACACAATGTCATCCAAATTCCAAGAAAGAAGATGACGAAGGAGAACTAGAGATTCATCAAAATACTCAGAAATCATCACCAAGGAGAACGTTTTTTCTACATCTGCCACAAAAGCTTGAGCATAAGCAACATCTGATGCTGGTCGATCTTTGTTGCCCCCCAAGTCGAAGGTCAAGGTATTACGTGCATACATAGAATCTGCCTCTTCTGGACGGTAGTACTGTAAGGGGTCGGCTAAGAAGGTCTCTAGAGAGCCATTAGGGACCCTTCGGAAGCTCCCACTGTGACGGCTGTAGTACGTGAACAAAGATTCAAACATGGAAGCTGGCTCTCTCAGGATTGTGATGTATATTGTATCATTTGGCATCAGGCGCTGCAGTGCAGTCTTATTGAAGCGCATGTGGCTGGTGATCATGTTGGGTGGTAGCGTATGTGGATGAACAAAGTGGGAGGAGAAGACTTGTGGGTAACAAAACTGGTGACCACAATTCGGTTTAGGCAACGCCATCGTCAAGTTGTTGCGCTCTGCAAATCGAAACAGTATGTTCTGCAGGGTGCTGCTGGCTGTTTTGTGGGTCTTGAGGAAGACAATATTGGTGTGCTTAGGCTTCAGACCTGGGGCAATCGGAGAGCGAAGTGTAGCGCATCTGAAGTGGTCAATGGTCCTTAGAACAGAGACAAATATATTAGTCAGAAGCCATTCATCCTGCTAACAGACACAGTTTAAAAAGTCAACAAAACAAAAAAATATGTCTAACGCAGTCAATTTATTACTTACATTTTAGAACATTAGAACTATTGTTAGTCTTGAATTTTTCAATGTGAGTCAATTTGTGATTAATGCTACTGTTTATCGTTAGATATTACACCCTGTAATATTAACTTTATAAAAGCTTAGATGAAGGTTATGAAGTACTTACGTTTTGTTATCTTTGACCCTTAGTTTTATTATAGCTCAATATACTGTAGAGTATACTGTACTGTGCATTGTTTTATATATACAGCGGGTAAAATAAGTATTGAACACCTAACCATTGCAGTTTTGCGAAAAACACCAATTTCTAAACGGTCGAAATTCCACCTCAACCTAGCTCAAAAACATTTTGTTGAAAAACGTAATTTTTTTCGAAATTGACGTGTTTTCATTGAGCAAATTTATTTTCGAAATTCTAATTCGCGCATTTTCATGGTCAATGGAAACGCAGCTAGTGTTTCATGGGGGGACCTTTTTCCTTGATATGCAGGAAATAGACAGAAGCACAAGGCAAGCTAGTATCATTGTTGGAGGTGTTGAATGTAGCAGAGATGTATACAGAAAGCATGTAAATAAAAAAAAATTGTGCTAAAGGGGTGGTTTCTGATGTGTGGATGTACTTTGGCTTTAAATGAGGACACTTGAGTCAATCATCCCTTGCAGACACATTTGCCAGAGGTTCTCCCTACAAAAAAATAAGCAAGTGGTGGGTTCTCGAAAGCCTGTAATATTTGTGTGGACATGGCATTGTAGCAGTCACTTTATTGCAGTGATTTTCCTCTCTATCAGTAGAAAATGTGGTTAACACACCCAGGTATGCAAGTAACGAACAAAACCGTTAAATACTGTGATACAGGTATAACTAGTAAAAAAATGTGCTATAAAATTTTTGTCATACCGCCCAGCACTGCTAGGAATTTGGGAACCTTTGCAAACATTTTGAAAACTCCCTAACAAGTGTGAACCACCGCCTTTGCTACAGTGTAAGAGACGGCCAAATGTAAGCTGGTTTTATAGCTTTGAGCTTCAACAGGTCTGTCCTTCTTTGCAGTCTCTGCTCTTGTTGCCACTGCAAAATCTCAAAAGTTTGCGATGGTAATAAATGCATAGTGAATTTTTCTTTATTCCGACAGATTTGTGTTAAATAATTCGTGAAAGCTAATAGACAGTTTAAGTAATTTTACAAGGTAGTAATGTAAACTGATTAAACTCTAGATGATATCTGAGAATTGGTCATGGTGCAAGAAAGTTGTGATGTCAACAATAGCGAGAGTTCAACTAGATACTGCACAGCGGTAACATAATGACCCCCGCATGCACAAATGCACCAGAACTCAGAAGTCTTTATTCCTAATAAATGTCATGGTATTAAGTGCATCCCAAAATTGTAGTGGTTTGGGTGGGGG